CAACTAAGTAAGATCCGGAACATCACATCAAACATGAACTTGACAATGAGAAGCTAGAGCTAGTGAAAAGCACATGCTCAGAGAGGAGAGATCATCTAGGTAAGATCCATAACATCACAACATATATGAACATGACAACGAGAAGCTAGAACTAGAGGGAAGCACATGCACATAGAAGGAAGATCAATCGGAACATCATACTAAGTATGAATATGATAATGAGTGGCTAGAACTAATGGAAAGTACATGCCCATAGAGGGAAGATCAACCGGAACATCACACCAAGTATGAATATGACAATGAGTGGCTAAAACTAATGGAAAAACGCTCATGCATATGAAGGGAAAATCATCCGGAACATTACTTCAAGTATGAACATGACAATGAGTGGCTAGACTAATGAAAAGCACATGCACATGAAGGGAAAATCATCCGGAATATCACACCAAGTATGAAGAAGACACAGAGATTGTAGAACTAAATGGAAAGCACATCCACATAGAGGGAAGATCATCCGGAATATCCCACCAAGTACGAACATGACAATGAGTGGCTAGACTAATGAAAAGCACATGCACATGAAGGGAAGATCACCCGGAACATCACACCAAGTATGAACAAGACAAAGAGATGCTAGAACTAAATGGAAAGCACATGCATATAGAGAGAAGATAATCCGGAATATCACACCAAGTAGGAACATGACAATGAGTGGCTAAACTAACGAAAAGCACATGCACATGAAGGGAAGATCATCCGAAACATCACACAAAGTATGAACATGACAGTGAGTGGCTAGACTAATGAAAAACACATGCATATGAAGGGAAGATCATCCGGATCATCACACTAAGTATGAACATGACATTGAGTGCCTAAACTAATGAAAAGGCACATGCACATGAAGGGAAGATCATCCGGAACATCACTCTAAGTATGAACATGACATTGAGTGGCTAGACTAATGAGAAAGCACATGCACATGAAGAGAAGATCATCCGGAACATCACACCAAGTATGAACATGACAATGAGGGGCTAGACTAATGAAAAGCACATGCATATCAAGGGAAGATCATCTGAAACATCACACTAAGTACGAACATGACATTGAGTGGCTAGACTAATGAAAAAGCACATGCACATGAAGGGAAGATCATCCGGAACATCACACCAAGTATGAACATGACAATGAGTGGCTAGACTAATGAAAAAGCACATGCATATGAAGGGAAGATCATCCGAAACATCACACCAAGTATGAACAAGACAAAGAAATGCTAGAACTAATGAAAAACACATGCATATGAAGGGAAGATCATCCGGAACATCACACTAAGTATGAACATGACATTGAGTGGTTAGACTAATGAAAAAGCACATCCACATGAAGGGAAGATCATCCGGAACATCACACCAACTATGAACATGACAATGAGTGGCTAGACTAATGAAAAGCACATGCATATGAAGGGAAGATCATCCGGAACATCACACTAAGTATGAACATGACATT